AGCAACCTCTAGCTCTTGGGCTTTGGCGATTTTCTTGCTTCAACCTCCCGAGAAGCTGGGACTATAGGCGCCCGCCACAACGCCTGGCTATTTTTTGGTTGCAGTTTGGCTGGGCTGCATTCAAACCTGGTACGCTCAGTATATGGGGCTGGCGCCCTACCCACTGAGCCATAGGTGCCAGCCCTCATTTTGCTTTTTAACCAAGTAGTAACAATATTTCTTGCTATTATTGTAAACATAATAGTTTTTACCATTTTAACAGTGTTATGTAGTATTTTCACTTTTTCCCAATTAATAGAAGGAAGGTTGTTTAGTTTTGCATTCCTTTGAAAATTGTGCTATTTAATATTTTCCCCATGTAGTCACTTGTTTATAAATATCTTTTGATTCATACCTGCTTGATTTTTGATGACTTTTTGGACAAAAGCCTTAGGTAATACAGGTTTAAAGGCTTTGTGACTCACTATATATTTTGTTGCCTTTTACCTTTGGTTATGCTGTCTTTAATAGACTGAAGTAATTTTTGATAATCTGCTGATCTTTTTTCCTTATGAAGTTTGGACTTCTATGAAAATGAAAAAGAGGTAGCGCTGAGTTTTAAATCTTACAGTTGAAAATGATTGCAGGAATCAACTGCTCTTTTTTTATTTTGCAAAAATAATGAAGGCCTAGAGAAGTTATGATTTAGCCATCTTTACATAATTAGTTGGTGCAAGAGTTTAAACCAGAGACTGACTTTCCCTAGTCTTTCCCCCTCCTCTTCGTCCTCCCACCATTTCCACTAAGCACCATAGTTAAATTTGGAATAAGAATGAAGAACTTTGTTTTTTGGTTAAAAAAATCAAAGACTTAATTCTTAGCATAAATCATGTACTTCGCGGAGGTTTGCTTCATATTAGAATACTATTGGCGCTATTGTACTGGAAAAAGTACTGTTTCTCATTCATTTTTATGTGCTTTAAAATGTAGAACTGCTCTGAGAATTGAACGTATTGTTGCCTTTTTAGTTAGGTTCAAAAGTAATCTGATTTTGACCACTCTTTTGCCTAACAGGAAGCCTGCAGACCTGCAGAACTTGGCTCCTGGGACCCACCCACCATTTATAACTTTCAACAGTGAAGTTAAAACGGATGTAAATAAGATTGAGGAATTTCTTGAAGAAGTCTTATGCCCTCCCAAGTGAGTATTAAAGAAAAAATATATGGAAATATTGCCACCTCTCTGAAGCTTGGTCTTATTTGTCCTCAGAGACCTTTCTTCTGATGTTATTTGAATTACATTCTCACAGCATTAATTGGATCAACTAGGACTCTCTTCTAAGTTTCTTACGGTTATTGCTGTAGTTGTGAAAGTTATGTCTGGCTAGGTCAATAAGCCATACTAAAAAGGTGGGATTCTGTGCGGTAGGTCAGGAAAGACTGGTTATTTGCGGGCTGTTGACCCCAAACTAAGAAGTTTAGGGAGAAGAAGGGCTGGAGAGGGACATGCTTCCGCTGAAGGCAGCCAGAGTGTCTGAGCAGCGTGTGGAGCAAGTTGCTATGGAATTTGCTCTCAGTCCGTTTTAAAGGTAACTTTCTAAAGATATGATCCAAAGGAATTGACTTTTCAGACTGTGTCCCTGGGATTCAGAGTTTTTATTTACTTAATTTCTTGAGATGTTTCAGATCTCCAGGTCTCGCCAATACTATAATGAAAATTACCTAAATTGCAAAAGGGCAGTTTTGCATCATATTATAATCTTGGCATAGGTTCAAAGCTTTAGGCTTTTCAAGTTTCATTATCCTGCAAATGGACGTTTCTTTTCCTCTGACCCAAACCTTTCTTGTTAGTTAACTTGACTTTTATTCTCCACACGTAGATATATTTACGAGGAATGGGATTATTGGGTTAGAGAGTTCTAAAACAATTATACAGGGGCTCCCCCCTCTCGGTTCTGCCCACCAGCCTCTGAGCAGACTATGGCTATACCTCCCACTCCTACATATGCTGATCTTGGCAAGTCTGACAGGGATGTCTTCACCCAGGGCTATGGATTTGGCTTAATAAAACTTGATTTAGGAACAATCTGAGAATGGATTGGAATTTACAAGCTCAGGCCCAGCCAACACTGAGACCACCAAAGCGACAAGCAGTCTGGAAACCAAGTGCAGATGGACCCAATATGGCTTGATGTTGCCGGAGAGACGGAACACTGTTAACACACTGGGCACCGAGATTACTGTGGAAGATCAGCTTGCACGTGGACCAAAGCTGAAAAAATTCATCTTTCTCATTGAACATTGGGGGAAAAAATGCTAAAATCAAGACAGGGTACAAGTGAGAGCACAGCAACCTGGGCTGTGACATGGACTGCGGGGCCCTCCATGAGGGGTGCTCTGGTGTTGGGTTACGAGGGCCGCCTGGCTACCAGGTGAATTTTGAAACAGCGAAGTCCCAAGTGACCCAAAGTAGCTTTGCAGTTGGCTACAAGACCAGTGAATTCCAGCTTCACACTAATGGGAATGATGGGACAGAGTTTGGTGGCTCCATTTACCAGAAGGTGAACAAGAAGTTGGAGACCTCTATTTGTCTCACCTGAATAGCAGGAGACATTAACACTTGCTTTGGAATAGCAGCAAAGTACCCACCTCGACCCTGACACCTGCTTCTCGGCTAAAGTGAACAACTCCAGTCTGATAGGTTTAGGATACATTTAGACCCTAAAGTCAGGTATCAAACTGACACTGTCAGCTCTGCTGGGTGGCAAGAATGTCAATGCCAGTGGCCACAAGCTTGGTCTAGGATCGGAATTTCAAGCATAAATGAATACTGTATACTTGTTTAACTTTAAACTATTTTGCAGCATTTAGTGTAATATTTTAATGTAGTATGTCTGGGATGCAGGTATTGTTCAATATTGTGTTAGACATCCAGATTAAAGATGATTCTGTTTTAAACTGTTACCCTTTCACGCTCGTTGGCTACGCTCAGTGGTTAGGGCTTTAGCCACGTGTACCGGGGCTGGTGGTTTCAAATCCAGCCCAGGTCTGCTAAAAAACAACGATGATGATAACAAAAAATATAGCCAGGTGTTGTGGCAGATGCCTGGAGTCCCAGCTATATGGGGAGGCTGAGGCAAGAAAATTGCTTAAGCGCAAGAGTTTGAGGTTGCTGTGATGCTACAGCACTCTATTGAGGGCAACTTAGACTCTGTCTCAAAAAAAAAAAAAAAAAAGGAAAGGAATAAACTTGATTCCAAAACAATATCTCAGCTGTAGACTTGAGGAGAACTTGATGGCTTCTTTAGAGATGCCAGGTTTCTTTGTTATCTAGAAATGGCTGCAAGTGAAAGCTGCTTATGTGTAGGTGCTTTGTAAATTCATACTGAGTAAATGAATGAAATCGTGACTTCCTGAATTGAACCTTGGTTTCCTAACCCTTATTCATGAGAGGCTTATTGCTTGATGATATGTATAAACTCACCCAAAAGGGACTTTTTAAAGGCAGATCTTCATGACCTGTTCCCAACTTCTTTTACACCAAAAGTTCTGCAGGGTGTGGTAGCTGTTTCCTTTGTGCCATTTTGGGGTGGAGAGAGCAGATGTGGTGAAGCCAATAATTCAGGACTTAATTCCTTCTCGTGTTGTGGTTTTTTGCTCTTGCACTGGAGTATGAAATAGCTTCTAGGATCCCTTGCTATAAGCTGGGACGTCTGTGTGATTGTAATCACGTGGTAATGACACTTTAGTCCAGTCTAATTGGACTTCTGTTGTATTCTCACCACTCAATTTCTTTTTTTAGCACTTTAATGACTATATTTTAGAGTCTTCCATTTGGTGTAGAATTAGATCCTCCCCCTTCAAATTCTGTAATTAATATTACTTAAAATAAAACTTGAATAAAATATTGGAAAAAGAAAAGAAAAATATTGGAAAAATAAGATAATGATAAGGTTTGTTACATTAATTGACTCTTCCTTTCATATGTGATTCTGTTTGATAGCATTTTACCCACAGTGGAACTTCTTTCAAAATCATAGTTAATCCTCGGAAACCCTGCTGCTTTTTTTTGAGACAGAGCCTCAAGCTGTCC